ATTCATATGCAAAAAAATGTACCCAGAAACAGATCTTAAACTTTTGTACAAAAATAATCCAGTGGATCATTGACCCTAATTATAAGATGCAGAACTATAAGACTTGTAGTAGAAAACAGGAAATCCAGGTGACCCATGGATAAGTTAAATTAAATTACAAGCTATTAACTGATGGAAATGTAAGATGGTAAGGCCAATGCAGAAAACAATTTGTTAGTTTCTTACAAAACTAAACATTCAACTACCATATGACCCAGCAATTGCACTCCTGAGCTTTTATCTCCGAGAAATGAAAACTGGATATAAAGGGTGGGAAGGAAGGGGGAATGGGAGTTAACAGTGCTGGAAAAATAGCATTGATTAGGGGTAGGGTTACTCAGTTGATTATTGGACACCTGTAAAAATTTGAATTGGCAGTTGCTTGTGTACCACCAAACACCTCATGGGACTTGCTTCCTTGGTTTGGAGGTTTAGGGTCATGATTTTAGTTAATTGGCTTAAAAACATATTTATTGCTTCTGTTCTGCCTCCTAGTTCATGGCATAGTGCCTGAGGTCTTAAAAGCTTGCAGGCGAACATCCAAAGTACAACAATTGGACTCTATTTGCCTGGAGCAACAAAGGAAGGAGGAATGTCAGGAATAGGAGGAAGATATGGAATGTGTGGCTGATTGCCTCCATGAACAATCGCCTCCCTTGCCAGGAGACTAGAACAGGAGTGCCCAGTTCAGTTTTTCCACATCCTTACCATTACTGAACATTTTGATCAAAGATTCCATAGAAGAATACTGATCAAAAGTGGGAAATGGTGAACTGAAATTTCAAATTCTCATGGACTCTAGACTTCTGGAGCCAGGGAGGTGAACCCCTGAAACTATTGTCCTGATACAATCTTTCAACCTTAAACCAAAAATATCCCCTGAAGTCTTTTTAAAATGGAACAATAGTTTAGCTTAATTGGTTGGGGAAAAAAAAAGTCTGCTTTGAGCATTATTCTATTTTACAAACTTATCTGTGTGGGATCAAATCAACAACAGCAACTCGAAAGATTAGATGGAAGCCTGAGGGGGCAGTGAGCGCTTATATCAGCAAGGGAAGAACAGCTCAGAACAGGCGCGTGAGGACGAATGGATGTACGACTTGAATGTAATCAGTGTCACTGAATTGTACCTATAGAAATTACAGAATTCCTTTTGATGTCTGGATTCCGTTGCATGGGTGTACCACATTTTGTTCATCCATTCATCAGTTGATGGACATTTGGGTTATTTCTGCCTTTTGTCTATTATGTATAGTGCTGCTATGAACATTCATGTACAGGTTTGACCGTCTTTCAGTACTTTGGGGTATATTCCTGGGAGTGGAGTGCTGAGTGATGATAATTCTGTGTTTAACATGCTGAGGAGCCATGAACCGTTTTCCCCAGTGGCTGCACCATTTTGCAAACCCAGCAGAAGTGTATGAGGGTTCCAGTTTTTCCACATCCTTACCAACAGTTGTTATTTTGTTTTTTGGTTAATAGCTATTATGGTGGATGTGATAAGATATCTCCTCGTGGTTTTGATTTGCTTTTCTCTAATGACTAATGAAAGGTGCTCTGGTAGCACTGTGGTTAAAGTATTTGGCTGCTAACCAAAAAGGCCATTGGTTCAAACCCACCAAATGCTCTTCAGGAAAAAGATGAGACAGTCTGCTTCTGTAAACATTTACAGCTTTGGAAACCCTGTGGCATAGTTCTGCTCTGTCCTCTAGGGGCGCTATGAGTTGGAATCAGCTCGAGGGCAGTGGGTAATGACAAATGATATTCAGCATCTTTGGATGTTCTTATTGGCCATTTGCAAATCTTGAGAGTAGTATGGAAATTCCTTCCCAAACCAGCTACAACCGTGCCTCACAGGTAGAGCTTTATTAGACACACAGATCTGTGTGCATATGGGGTGCTATGTTCCCTTGAACTCTTAGTATGTCTTCCACTGCTTAGTGACATTCTTTCTTTCTGGAATGTTCCTGAGTGAGTGCAAGTGGAGGGAAGGTTTTTTGCTGTGATGGATTTGGTTTATAGGCAATCTCTGGGTTACGAAAGAGATCTATTCCTAAGTGTGTCTTTAAGTCAAATTTGTAGGTAAATCAGAACAGGTGCATATGGTTCTTATTTATCCTTTAGTGCAAGAAAAGGCTGAAAACCTTTATCAGTGATTTAAAAGCTGCATGCAGCAAGTGAAGGTGATGGCGATGAATTTGTTGTGAGTAGGGGTTGGTTCAGTCATTTTAAAGTGAGGGCAAATTTACTAACATTAATAGGCAAGTACAAGTTGTCCTTAAGTTGGATATTCGTAACCCGGGGACTTACTGTATTTTCTTTCTAAATGGAAGTTGAGTTCAAATGTAGCCTATTGGAAGGAAATCATGAGTGACTTAATTAGATGATCCCTTAGGGTCTAAGACTTAGGCCACTGGTTTGCAGCTGTGGCTGCACATTGGAATCACCTGAGATTAAAAAAAGAAAACCTATATGTCTGTGACCTACTACCAGAGATTTGGATGTAATCGGTCAGGGGTGTGGCCTGGCATTCTGGATTTTTGTTTTTTTAAAACTCCCCAGATGATTCTGATTGCAGCCAAGGCTGAGAATCCTTTAGACCCTTTCCAGCTTTTTAAATACTGTGTATTTACGTGGGAAGATAGGAAATTTAGGTTTCATTGGGACTGTCCTTTACATATGGAAAGGCTTTCAAAGCACCTTCTGTAGCTTCTCTTCCTTTTTTATTGGCTAAAAATTTTCAACAGGCAGCATTTGAGGTACAGAATTAACTTTTGTAGAGTTGGTTCATTCCATCTGCATCCTTTGCTCTAAAAAGTAAATACTGGTTTCTAGCCTGCTAGCGATTTGTTTAGCTTGAAGTCCCTGTTTGCAAACAATTATGAAACGTTTTGTTGAAAAAGGATGCTCAGCGGTTTCGGGGTTGTATTTCCAGAGATTTTGACTGAGCGTGGAATCTTGGTGGCATAGTGGTTAAAGTGCTCAGCTGGTAGCCAACAGGTCAGCTGTTCAAAGCCACCAGCTGCTCCATGGGAGAAATATGAGGCAGTTTGCTTCCATAAAGATTTACAGCCTTTGAAACTCTATGGGGTAGTTCTTTGTCCTGTAGGGTCGCTATGAGTCGGAATCGACTCCATGGCAAATGGGCTTTGGACTGAGAGCCCTTACCTGTTGCTCCGCTTATTGGGACTCCTCACAAATCCATCCTGCTGATTAGTTGCCCTTCTGTGGAGGCTGTTATCAGGGCAAAGCTCTCACAACCTAACACTGTGTTCCAGGTGGAGTGCCATCGGGGACCTCATCTGCTGCGTGAACTCCTTGTCCCCCTCCCCAGTGATCCCTGTGGTTCAGCTCTCTGTTTCTGCTCTGTCTTTGGGTGCATTAAGGCTGACCATCTTAGGCTAGATGCAGATGAAACTGTGTTTGGCAAGACAGGTGATCTCTTTTTTAAAGCCCTAGAGTGTCTCCATATGTCACATGTCACATTTTATAATTAACAGCTTGCTGGTGAAAAGGACTCCTCGAAGTGTTGGCTACAGACCAGACTGTAAGTGAATTACTTTTTGTCAATCATTTAACCATCTGCAACCTAAACAGGTTTTATGTGAAATGGTTTAGTTACTTTAGAGAATATTTTAAGAGGAGACACGTTTGCAAATATTAGATTTGAAAGTGATGTGATGTTCTCTGTATCTAAATGATGCATTGTGATTCCTTTTAGTTGTTGGATTTGAAATTCCAGACAAGTTTGTTGTAGGATATGCCCTTGACTATAATGAATACTTCAGAGATCTGAATGTAAGTAATGCTGCTTTTTTGTTAACTCTCATTTTTCAAAACCCATAGAAACATTTAGGAAAGAGAAGAATTGTTTTCTCTTTTAGGCACCTCATAATTTGAACAGACTGATGGTTCCCATTAGTCACATAAAGCTGTAGTCAAGTACAGATGTCCTTAGAACTGGAACTGGGCCAGGCTAGGGTGACACTTCTTGCTGGCTGAAACAGTTGAACAGCTTTAATATTGACTAACTGTCCCATTATTATTTCAGATGATAAATGTGGTCATAAGTAAGAAACAAATGAACTAATTGAAGTCATCTAACTTTACCCTCCTTCAAATACCTGCATCCTACTCTGGTGGCAGGAGTCTCACACACACGTTAATGAACACGGTGCAGGGAAATTGGGAAGACTGCATAAACAGTATAATCTAAAGCAGTTTTGACTCCATCCCTTTTCACTCCTTACCCTAGCCCCCACTTTGATCCACTTAAAACCCCCTGCTTTCTTTGTTACTCAGAATTAAATATTGAGACAAAATAAAACCAGTCAAATTAAGGTGACAAACTACTACTTGGTTTGCAAAAGACACACTCTGTGTCCACCCCCCTCTGCCGTAATGGTCTAAAGTACAAAGGCACTGCCTCTGTTTGCTGCACAGCACTGTTATTATAAGCAATGTAAAATGCCGTGCTTGCCTTTCAGAACACACTTTTCTAATGTGGATTTCTGGATTTTTATCTTATAGCACGTTTGTGTCATTAGTGAAACTGGAAAAGCAAAGTACAAAGCCTAAGATGAGAGTTCAAGTTGAGTGCTAGAGTTTGGAAACGTTTGGAGTCTCATTGACATCACCAGTAAAATGATCAAACGTCCTAGTTTTGTGACCATCTGCTTAATAGAGCTTTTTGCATGTATAATAATTGTATCTGTTTTGTATATTAGAAATGTCAGTTGGCTGCAGTCCTGAACTCTTTATTTGCACTATGAGCCTATAGACTGTTGGTTCCCTTTGGGTGGCTTGTTGTTTGACTTGTAAATGAAAGACTCTTAAACCATACCAGTAATAAGTGAAAATATTGAAATTGTATCTGTAAGAAACATTTAAAGAGAAGATATATTAGTTTTTTAATTGGTATTTTAATTTTTATATATTAATGAAATTTCAAATTGTTTTAATTTATCTTAGATAATACTCCATGTGTACTTAAGAAGACTGCACTCTGCTGTTGTTGGGTAGC